ATTAGTTATTTATTGCTGTGTAACAAATTGCCCCATGTTTTAGCGGCTTGAAACAACAAATATTTATTATCTCACAGTTTCTGTGGGTCAGGAGTCCAGGAGCAGTTTTCCTGGCTCAGGATCTCTCAAAGATTGTAGCTAAGGTATCTGAAAACTTGGCTAGAGGATCCACTTTCAAGCTGGCTTACTCACGTGGCTGTTAGCAAGAAGCTTCAGTATTTCACTATGTGAGTCTCTCAACAGGGCTGTCTCTCAGGGCGTCTGACTTCCCTCATACTGGGTGCTTCAAGAAAGAGAGAGCAAGCAGGAAGCCACAGTATCTTTTATGACCTAGTCTCCAAAATTGCACACACTATGACTTCCATTTTATTCTATTCCTCAGAGGCAAGTCAGTAAGTCCAGCTCATACCCCTTGGGGGGGAATTAGGCTCCACCTCTTGAAAGGAGAAGAATTGAGAATAATTGTGGACATTTTAAAACCAATACACAAGGCAATACTGATGTTCCTGGTCTGGACCACACTTTGGAGACCCATTGGTCTAATCCTACCCTCTGGTTAGATGGATGAAAACCACAGAGTTCCCATAAGCTAAATGATTCTTCAAGTGTCACAGAGTGAGTCTGTTGGAGGACTAGGGTGAGAACTCTGATTTCCTGACCCACATTTAGTGTACTTTTCATGAACCACACAGCATTTGGTCATCTTTGATCAAAAGTTCTCTGGAGAGTTTGGTTATCTGTAAAACTCATTAAACCTTTGCATTTTTTCTAGGTTAGGTTTTTTCCCCCCCAAATTTTATTTATTTTGTTGTTGTTGTTGAGAATATACACAGTAAAACATACACCAATCCAACAGTTTCTACTTGAACAATTTAGTGACGTTGATTATATTCTTCGAGTTGTACAACCATTCTCATCCTCCTTTTCTGAGTTATTCCTCCCTCACTAACATAAACTCCCTGCCCTCTAAGGCTCCCATCTAATCTTTTGAATTGCTGTTGTCAGTTTGATCCTGTAATAAATTGTTCTTGAAAGAGAGGGTTTTCATATTGATCTACAGAACTCTGCAGTTCCATGCAAGCTTTCTATAAATTCTTTAAAAGTAAGAGGGGTCACACACTGAGTAGGGAGAGAGTAGGGAACAAAGAGGAGATGAAAGAGGAGACAGGAATAAGGAAATGAGGTATGAGAAAGAAAGGAAAATAATAACTTAAATAATGCATACCATAGGCCTGTCTCTTTCAATGTGAATCAGGGTGAGATGGGAGATGAAACTCTTCCTGTTATATGTATAAATAATATATATGCAGAGTATCTACCATTCATCCAAA